ACAAGGAGTCATTCCATTACTTTGTAAACTTCCAGATGTGATATCTAATGAGATACCACCAGGGTTGCCTTTTATGCGAGACATACAGCATGCAATTGACTTCATACCAGGAGCAGTCATTCCTAACAAGTCTGCCTATAGGATGAGTCCCCAAGAATATGTCAAAGTCCAAAAGCAAGTTAAAGAGTTGTTGAAGAAAGGATTGGTTTGAGAAAGTATTAGCCCTTATGCTATACTTGTTATTCTAATACCAAAGAAAGATGGGAGTTAGAGAATGTGCATTGACTGCCAAGTTGTCAACAAGATCACTATTAAGTATTGGTTTTTGATACTTTGGCTCAATGATATACTAGACTAGTTGCATGGTGCCATTACCTTTTTCAAATATTGACCTTAATAGTGGATACCATCAAATTGAAATTTAGCCAGAAGATGAGTGGAAGGTTGCTTTCAAGACAAGAGATGGCTTGTATGAGTGAAAACTGATGCCTTTTAGGTTAACAAATGCCCCTAACACATTTACACACTTGATGAATTAGGTATTGAGACCCTTCATTGAAAAATTTATTGTTGTGTACTTTCATGATATTCTCATTTACATTGAGAGTCAAGAAGAATACTTAGATCACTTGCGGCAAGTTTTGCAAGCCTTACAAGAACATAAGCTTTATGCTAATATCAAAAAGTGCACCTTTCTCACTAATGAAGTTGTGTTCTTGGGGTACATTATTACTGCAGAGGGTGTTTGAGTTGATCCAAGCAAAGTTGCAGCCATTAACAGTTGGTTAATTCTAATATCTATCCAGGAGGTTTGAAGCTTTCATGGATTAGCTTTTTTTTATAGGAGGTTCATCCATAATTTTAGCTTTATTACTACACCACTTACAGATTGTACTAAAGAAGATAAACTTCAGTGGACAGAGTAAGCTTAGAAAAGCTTTGAGGAGCTTAAGAAGAAGTTGACTGAAGCTCCAGTCCTAGCTCTTCCTAATTTTGACCAAGTATTTGAAGTTAGTTGGTGCTGTCTTAAGTCAGGAGGGACATCCCATCATATTTTTCAGTGAAAAGCTTAATGATGCTAAGCTTATATATTCTACTTATGACAAAGAGTTCTATGCCATTATCCGAGCTCTCCAATATTAGAGTCAATATCTCCTGAATAAAGAGTTCATACTCTTTTATGATCGTGAGGCACTCAAGTATTTGAATTCTCAATGGAAGATCAACCGTAAACATGCCCATTAGAGTGAACTCTTACAGCCTTATCTATTCCTTACTAAGCATAAGGTTGAAACTTTGAACTCCATAGCTGATATTCTTAGCCGTCGACATGTGCTGCTCACAACAATGTAGACCAAAGTTGTTAGGTTTGACCTTGTTAAAGAGTTGTATTAGGATGATTTTGATTTTCTAGGACTGTGGGAAGTAACTTCAAATCAACGTTTCCACCAGTTCTACAGATATGATGGGTTTCTCTTTTGAGGCAAAGCCCTATGCATTCTATAGGGTTCCTTGAGAGAAGCCATAATTTAGGAAGTATATGATGATAGATTAGCTGGACATTTCAGACAGGGTAAAACAACTAATCTAGTGAAGGAGAACTTTCACTGGCCTTGATTTGAACGGGATGTCAACATGCATATACAGAGATGTAGAATTTGCTACTTGGCCAAATTCAAGGGTCAGAATATAGGGTTATACATGCCTTTGCCTATTCTAGAAGCACTTTGAGAAGATGTGAGCATGGATTTTATTTTGAATTTACCACGAACTTAAAGGCAAAAAGATTTGTTATGGTAGTTGTAGATCGTTTCTAAAAAATGGCTCATTTCATTCCATGTCAGAAGACTAATGATGCTGTTCAAGTAGTAGATTTGTACTTTAAAGAGATTGTTCATCTTCATGGCATTCCCAAGACTATCACTTCTAATCATGATGTGAAGTTTCTCAGCCACTTTTGGTAGACGCTATAGAAGAAGATGGAAACTAAGCTCCATTATAGTAGTGCTAGTCATGCCCAGACAAATGGTCAAATTGAAGCTGTAAATAGGATTCTTGGGAATCTTCTTTGCAATTTTGTGGGGATGAATTTGAAACAGTGGGATTTCCTTCTTACTCAAGTTGAATTTACCTATAATAACTTAGTCAACAAAGCAACTAGGAAGTGTCCATTTGAAGTTGTTTATGGCACTAATCCCCTTAGTCCGTTAGACTTGACCCCTTCACTTGATAAGCATCATATAGTTTTGATGTTGACCAAAGGGCTAAGAAAATTAAGAAGTTGCATGAGCAAGTTCGTGAGCAAATCTAAAAGCAAAATTTGAGATACAAAGCTTAACGTGACAAGCATTAGAGATAAAAAACTTTTAATATGGAAGACTTAGTTTGGATACATCTATGAAAGGGATGATTTCCTAGACAACTAAATGCTAAGCTGTCCCCAAGAGTTAATGGTCCATTTAGGATTGTGCAAAAGATTGATAACACTGCTTATAAGGTGAAATTGCCTGGTTCTTATGGATTGTTTGCCACCTTTAATGTTACTGATCGATCCCCTTACACTGACGATGATGCCAAATTTAACTCGAGGGCGAGTTTCGTTCAACCTGGGGAGGATGAAACGGAACAACAATAGCAATGAAGGAACGGGAAGAAACATGTGGAGGAGCAAAAACCGTCGTCCATTGGGTCACCACCATTAACACAAATAATAAAGCAATTGTAACTTGCCATTTATTTCCCTTTGCTCCATTTCAGACTTGGAATAGTATAAATAGCATAGTGTCTCTGTGTACTGCCATGTCAGATTGAAAGCAATAAATAAGAGTTTGTTTCTCATTCTATTTCTGAGCCAGGTTGATTGATCACGAGAGAACAACTTAGGTCTCGTTCGGTTTCTAAAAAGAAATGAAATGGAATAAATTAAAAAAATTAAGATAAAAATGAACTAAATCACCCTTCCTCTTATGGTAAGCATAATAAAACTCATTAATATATACTACAAATGTGGAAATCATCATACCCTTTAAAAATATCGTAAATCATGATTCTCAACTCCATAAACTAAATTACTCCACTTTCTTAAGAATGTGTTCTATTTTCTTTAATCATATTATTTTAACCTTAATTTTTTCAATACATTCCATTCTAATCATGCGTACTGTGAAATTGTGATAGTCTCTCCTTCCTTGAATGTAGATCTCTTTCCTTCCTATATCATGCATTGCTGGGGCAATGTCTCAGAACTAGGAAACGACGCAGGAAATTGTATCTCCTGTCCAAAATTACACTTTGCATCAAATTATTGGTTGACCTCAATATTAAGAAGGCAATTAATTACGCATTTCTATACTTCCACTAGTTAACTTGAAATCTTTCATATTTGCCAATTTATTGTGAAAGCACATATCCCGGTAGACAAGTCAAAATCCTTCTATGAGAGTTTTCTGCGTTTATATTATTTTATATTTGTGTTTTATATTTATTAAAAAATTATAAAATTTATAAATTTATCTTATCATCAATATGAGTAATGCAGATTTAATATGGATTGACCAATTTAGTATTAAAATTATTTTTAATTTTTATAAATTAATTATCTATATGTATTTTGAACAATCTAGATTTAATATTAATTTTTTTTAGAATTCTTCTATTTTTTATTTTAGTAAATATACTATTAAAAATATAAAAAAAGATAGCCTTCAAATTATCACTTTAGTTAAACAAATTTTAAGAAAAATTTTTGAATTAAAAATTTTAAATTTTGACTATGAAGAATATATGAGATAGTTAATTTATAAAAATTATAAAAATAGTTAATATTAAATTGGATAATCCAAATTAAATCTACATTATCCAAATTATTAATAAGATATATTTATTATACTTTTATAATTTTTATTTTGATAAATTTAAAATAAGAATATAAAATAAAACTTGTAAATTTGAACAATCAAGATATTTGTCACCTGTCCGTTCAGAAAAAAAAAAAAAAAAACAGATATTTGTCACCTGACGAGCCCTAAAGCCGGACGCCAGCTACCCCATGCAAGGACTGTTAGGTGTCCTTGAAAAAATTTTGTTCAATTGGGTGGAAAAATTATTCAAATTTGCTTTAGTAGCATATTGGACAACACAGTAAGCCCTTTTTGACAAGAATCAGATAAAACAAGCAAATGTCATAGTAAAGCTTCTTCATGAAACGTGGCATACCTTTTATTAAAGGGCAACTTGAATTCCATTGAAACTCAAAACCTTTTGAGAATAAATTTAACCTATAACCTCAACGTAACAAAGAGAATAAGAAAAATACTTGTACATTTAATCCTATATATACTCTTTTTTTTTTATTTTATTATCTGGTATCTGGAGAATCCTTGGAGTATTACCACCCTCACCTAGACTAATTCAAAAAGACATGTAATTTTTTATATATTATTTATTCCATTAATATTATTCACACCTTAAAATTAAATTCACTTGTTTAGATTTGTTTGGATAAAAATAACTAAAATAATCTTAGCCTAAAAAAAAACATTCAACAGTTTATAAATTAGATGTGTTTAAATCCTCTAAAGTTGAGATGTATCAATTTTTATGAAGTTTTCTTTTTTTTTTTAGTATGTTTCATAATTTTATTATTTTTATAAAATATAAAATACTATCTTCCCTTCTCTAAAAGGAAACCTTTATTAAAATTCTTAGACCTGGATTTAAATCCAAATTACGCAACCAACACAGGAAAAAAAAATGTTCATAGTGGCTAGATTTAAAAATGCTAGACCAACAAGAAAAAGATTAACTTTAAATGATACATATTATCCATAAAACGATACCCCATTTGAATGAATGAATAAATAAACAATTGTGCATAAAAAAAAATGGTGATAATGCTACTACTATACATAAGATTTATTTGATGTTTACAGTCATATTTTGCTTTTCATATTTACGTAATCTGTTTGTCTGTGCCAACAAGTTTATGAATGAGGAGGTTCCTAGACATTGGCGGGAACGAACTGGAACCATTGACTCCGAGGATCATCCAAACACAAAGAATCCTCGTTACGAATGCAGATACATTTGGCAGTGACGATGGCCGATGTGTTGGAATCTTTCTGCAAGCACAAGTGATGATCATTCTCCTGCTTAATACCCAAATGAAGCTTCGAGAGAGAAAGGGATTTCCAAGCACTTTTGTGGCTGTTGCAGTTATGGCCAGCAGAGACAAGCACAGGAAGGCCTTCACCATTTGCACTTAGGCACTTGTCGGTGCCAACCAATAGGATTTGGTTTCCTTTTTTGGCATGGTGCCATCTGCTTTTGTTTTCACAGCTTCCTAATTCAACCTCGTCCTTCTCGTTCACAGTCACACATTGCCCACTTAGAGGGTGGTACAATATAGAATGTTGTGGGAGTTTGGAACCAGGATCTACATTATTGTAAATGTACATGTAATTAGTGTTATAATTGCTACTTATTAAAAAAGTGAACTTTGAAACATGGACTCCAAACTTGGAGGTTGGAGCCATAAAATGAAGATAGAAAGTTTACCTTGGTTCGTCCTTTGGAGAAGTTGAAGCACCTGAGTTAAGTTAGGATTTTTTAGCTGATTCCAAGATGAATCCAACACTCCAAAGGTATCTTCAACGTCCACTCGCTCCTCTCTCATGTAATAACTTCCTTGCAGGGTCCACAAGCCCCAGTCCATGTCTCTTCCCGCAAGGTATGTCTGAATGCAAGTCAAGAACTTGAGATCTTCCTCAGAACCCCCAGTTTGATCAAACCCAAACTCAGTAAATATCAAAGGAACGGCATTCTCGCCCGTGGTCACGAACCCAGCTCTGTAATCTATGCCCTTTGCGCTTTGGGCACAGATTCTGTTCAATGGTTGCTTCGTCCATATGCCGTCTAATTTTAGGGTTCCTATCCCGGACCACGAGTACAAATGAGTCTCGAACACCAGCTTCTTACCTATGTCTAGATTCAGGGCTTTTTTCCGCAGAAATTGAAGTTCGGTATCGTAGTTCAATCCTGAGATCACCACTAGGACTTGTGGGTTCGCTTTGTGTATGGCTCTGGCTGCGTGGCTCATATACTTGTACCAATCTCCCTGATTTTGGCGTGGACCGTGTAGCTCATTCCTCAAGCTCATTGCTGCCACCTGTTGTGAATATTACATGCATCAGTATTATCCTATGTCCACCCTATCTTTTTGTTTATATATTTTAATAATAATATATGGAATCGGTAAATGAGTTCCATTGAATGAAGCTCGTCATGCATGTAGTTATACATCAGGAAAGAATAGAGAAATAAAGATGGACTGAAAATTAAGGCAGAAGACATACAGCGGAATTGCCAGCAAAATGCTTGGCAGCTAGGGTAAGCCCTTGTGTCCACTCCTCGGGATCAAAGTGGCGATCATGGAAAAACCCATTCTCATCATCATCGTTGCAGCACCATTTGGGTTTGCTCACATGGTTATCCAGCAGAACCCTAACCTTGTGAGCCCCAAGCTCACGAACCACAACTTCAAACACCTGCACGTGAGTCATCTCCAAGAACGAAGGGTTATTTTTCTCCATGCCTTGGATGGCGTCTGGTAAGTCCAAATGAAGAAGAGTGTCTCCAACAGTATCATTGCCATGACGCGTCCACATGTGAATGGCGTATGTGAGACGAACGCAATTGAACTTGTGTTGAGCGATCTGAGCCACTATATGCTTCAGTGGCTGCTTATGAAAACCCTCAGGGATCATAGGCTCTAGATGACCTGCCCAGTTCACACACGCGAATTTGGCTCTGCGTCCTGTGGATTCGTCCAAGATCCACTTGTTCTGGGTTGATAGAGGGTAAGAACTGGAAAGAAGACATGAAGAAGCGAGTAGAAGAAAAATGATGAAGAGGGATTTTGAAGTTAATCGTAGCATCTTGTGTGAGGGTGCGAGACTTGGATTGCGCAATTGATCGAACAGAGGATGAGTGAGTAGTTCTTTTCTATGGCTTTTATAGGGAACATTTTAAACCGATGGGCAAAGCAAATCATTCAGATTGGCTATGAATTATAATACTTATCCTAATCTACTTCCCATTATATCATTCAGCGAATTAATGACACGGAATATTTTTGCCATTATCAGTAATAGATTTTCATATCTATCAAGTTCCAATCAAATCCAGTTGAATCTAAGGGAAATCATTTTATCAAATTCTATTATATTTGTTTAAGCTTCAAAAAATATCAAATTTGAAAAATAAAATATATTTAAATTGCAGAAAATAAATATGATACAGTTGATGAAAGATAATATTATAAATATTGGAAGATAGATAATAACATCGTAAAATTTTAAAATAACTAAACAATGAGTCATTTTTTAATTTTTATAAACATAAATCCACAAAGATATCATAAGATTTGAAAGTCACTAAATAATAATTATTTTTATTAGTGTAAATAAACATAAAAAATATGTTATACATTTTATAAAATATTTTATAAAATAAATTTATTTTCTTATAGAATATATAAATTATCTAAAAATAACTTATTTTCTAAGTTTAAATCAATGTGCCCTAAATTGTTCATTATATTGTATTTTTTATAATTTGATATTTTTATTTGAAAGATAATTTAAATTTACAAGAAGTTAATTTTTCAACCAACCGTCTAACCCTAACACTGACGGGAAGCTAACCCGGCCCCAACACTTTCTATGAAGATCATAATGACTTTAATTTAAAGGAAATAATGCAAATACCTAGATATGAAGCTATACATTTAAGTAAATTATATAATTATACATTTGTAAAGATATCTGCACTTTCATGTAAATCTACTTTTCTCTCACAACATATTTGCACTCGTAGAACGCCACTGCTTTAGTATTACATTGACTGAATTGACACTACAAAAAAAAAAAAAAAAGCTGATTAATGAGGGAAACAAATTCATTAGTAAAAACACTATCACTAATTTGTTAGCACTAGAATTTGCAATTCCATCACTAATTAGTGACAGAATAATAGAATAATGATAGAAAATTTCTTTCACTAAATAAAGATAAGCTATTTTGACTTTACGATATATACATTCTATTGCAAATTTTTTAACAGACTTATTCTGTTGCAAATGTTTAGGTTACCTAAAAACATCATTACTACATCACCTGGTGGATCAATGCTATATTACCACTGCCTTATCACCTAGTGAACTCGTGCCATCTCAGCATCACTTCACCGCCATGTCATTTGTCACTGTCATGTCAAATATTATTATCTTTAATTGTGCATGGCACAGCTTGAATTTGCAATCTCGCACTCCCTAATGTCTTTACGTCCACCTAATTGTTAATTGAGTTAAAAGAAATCTTTATTTAATTGATAAATTAAATATATCATAATTAATCCCACACACACATATATGAATAAATATATTATTTAAATTTACTTATTTTTTAACATTATATTTATTAATACAGAAAAATTAATTATATATAACAATGTTTTTATTATATTTTATTTTAAAAAATTATTTTTGATAATAGATTTAATATTAAATTGAAAAAATATTTTATTATCATTATATATTATATTATAATTTGTATCTATATAATATATAATATTTTAAATTTTTATTTATTAATATTTTTTTATTTTATTTTTGTTTGTCAATCATAATAATTAAGTATACAATTTAAATTATTATTATTAATATACAAATAATTTTAAATTTTAAATTTTAAAATATTATAAATTGTAATTTTTAAATTATTTATTTATATCATAGTAATAAATATATATAAATATATATTATAAATAATTAAAAATATTTACATGGAGTTAGTGATAGAATTATGTTCGAAAGGTTTGTGATGAAATTTTTTATTGCAAATTCTGTCACTAAATTAAAATAAAATATCCTAATTAGCGACATAATTTTTTGTCAATAAATTCTATAGCTAAACATTTCTGATGGATTAGTGGCAGAATAATAACATAATTTTAGCGATGAAATGTTTGTTGCTAATTTAGTGATGAAATTAGCGATAGAGATTTATCCCATTGCTAAGATTTGAAAGCCACTAAATAATAATTATTTTTATAAGTTCAAGTAAACATAAAAATAAGTTCTACTTTTTATAAAATCTTTATAAAATAAATTTATTTTCTTATAAAATATATAAATTTTCTAAAAATAATTTATTTTCTAAGTTTAATCAAATGGGCCTAAGTTGTTCATCATATTTATTTTTATAATTTGATATTTCTATTCGAAAGATAATTTAAATTTAAAATAAGGTAACTTTTTTAAACTAACCGTCTTACCCTTACACTGATGGGAAGCTATAACCCGGCCCCAACTCTTTCTATGAAGATCACAATGACTTTAATCTAAAGGAAATAATGCAAATACCTAGACATGAAGCTATGCATTTAAATAAAATATATAATGATATATCTGTAAAGATATATGCACTTGCACGTAAATCTACTTTTTCTCTTAGAACATAGTTGTACTCGTAGAAAACTACTACTTTAGCATTACATTGACTGAATTGATCCTCCTATCTCATTCTAAAACTGAAGATTTTTGCATACGCACTTTTGTCAAAAAAAAAAAATTGTATTGTGGTTTTGTTTCTCGGGAATTTTGATTATGGTATTTGAATTATGAAGATTAGAGATCTGGGGACTCAACCCCCTTGCTATAAGGAATTATAGAGAGAGAGAGTGTGTGTGAGTGTGTGTGTTCGCGCGCGCTAAGCTCAGTTGAGTTTTATGGGTGGGGGAATGGCATTAATTAAGTGTCTTAAAAATAGATTTATTGCAATTTAGGTCTAAACAAATTTAATATTACTCTACACGCTTTGAGGCCCTTATTGCAATATTTTTTTCACATCAAAAATACAATTTTGCCCTTTGTTTGATTTAAATTTGAAACCTATGTGAACCTTCAAGCAACAGAATAAATCATGTATGACACAATATTCATTATGCACAAAACAATGTCCACGCATGATGATCTTTCAATCTGCAGGAAAAAAAAAAAGAAATAATTCATGAAAGATGATCTTTCAATGAAAAGCAGCAACGAAACATTAATTGAACCAAAATATGTAGCCTCCCCAGCATCATTCTAACACACCCACAAGAGTCGCAAGGCAAGTATGATCCCCATAAATTAATTCTTAATAGGGCACTGAAAGGTCATGTATTATCATTTTTCAATTTTACCTCTTATAATTTAATTTTAATAGGAGTAAAGTTGATTTTTTTTTAAAATTTTAATACATTTTAAATGAATTAACTGTCATTCCTTGGCTTCAGTGAAGTTGTTGAAAGTGTCTCATAATAAAAACTAGAGAAAGTATTATTCCTATATTTTCATATCACTTTTCCTAATTATTGTTTGCATAGGATATAAGAGAGTCATAAATTCTAAATGAAAATATATAATTAACATTAATACTTAATGGGAAAAATAATGTCTGGTTACATGATCTATGATTGCCCACATCACTGGTGGCTCACTAAAGGGCCCATTGACTAAGTAAATACAAGTTTGATTCTGGTATCACTTTATTATAGAGCCATTATTCTTTTTTTTCCAAAAAACTAGTTCAGCGTGGTCTATAGCACAATTGTTTATATGGCCAGATCCTCTTAGTCTCAGAGCATAACAATATGCTCTGAAATACCACACTTTCATTTAATTCATTGTTCAAATTAAGCAATTAACTATTTGTAAATATTTTTTGATCTTGTACTTTTAACAACCTGGCTTACGAGGAAATGTTAACTATTTGTAGGTAAATTTTGTAACTGCAAGAGGGGAAGAAATGCCTCGGTTGTTTCCTTTGTGCCATAGTAGTTTATTTTAGGCATTTCTTGGCTACTTCAACGGTTTTTACTCAATTCACTCCAATTTATTCTTGGTCCCACCTGAATTCATGTGTCCTCTAATAAAATAAACTGATACTCTTTTTGAAGCCACGCATCATACATATTATACAATCATGAAGCATTACAGACCAATAGAGATGTCACCAGGTCGTTAATTACTCTGCCGATTCCCGGATTGTTCACCTGCACAAGAACTTTTACAAGGCTTCATTCATGCACGTCATGAGATTCATGAAAACTAGCGTGAACCAAAGAAGAACACTATCACACCAGAGCTATTAGTTCATTCAAAGTAACTAGTTCGATCCTAAACATGTACGCTTTCGCTAACTGAACAACAATCTTTGCTGAATCTATCATTGGAATGATGGGGCTCAAAGTCGTAGAGAACTTTGAAATAAAGAATTAACAAGAACAACTGAAAAGGAGAGGTATGTGGGGTCCTCTTCATTCTCTGCTACTTCGTTTGCGTATCTTTGATTCGCTAATTAATAATCTTGACAACATATGGTGAAAGCCATCGCCAAATGTTGTCTTAATTTGATTTATTTAAATCCGTTATGGCGAGGGCCTGTTGCCATAAGCATTCCTGGACACAGACAAACTGTGTTCGGGCATATTAAATTATTTTTTAATTAATAAAATAATAAATTATATAATTAATTTATAAAATTTTTTTATGGAGGCACTTACGGAGAGGGCCTGTCGCTAAAAGTATGTTTGGACGCACATACAATTAATGCGTTTGTGTTCAGGCATACTAAATTATTTTTTAATTTATAAAATAATAAATATATAATTAATTTTGTTAATTATTTTTTGTTGAAACACTTATGTCACCATAAGTAATGTGTCCATGTTCAAGCATATTAAATTAGTTTTTAATTTATTAAATATTTCATTATATAGTTAATTTGTAAATTTTTTTTTATGGAGGCATTTACGGTCACCATAAATACGTCTGGACACAAATACAATTAATGTGTTTGTGTTCAGGCATATTAAATTATTTTTTAATTTTTAA